GGTCTAATAACTCGCCAGTGTCCATCATGATCAGAGTAAAGAGAGTAACACATGTGAAAGCACACGGTGCTTCACTGTCCCCTACTAGGCACATCTCTTACAATAATGAAAGCGTAGTACCGGCACAGCCATCCATCCTCGTACCCAAGGTCACACAATTACAATGCAGTGGACAGGACACATTAAGTGTGGGAAAGATTAACGTTATCCATCTTTCTTTGTTGCCCAGCAACATCACCATTGCACCCGATTGTAAATGATGCATGCGTGCTTGTGGCATGTCACATGATCGATTCGCGACCAATAAAACTTAACAATCTATGACCGTTGTATATCAAGTCCTGTTGGGATGGATGCATAATAATGATGGGGCAGAACAAATTTTCTGTGACCGTGCAGGTCGGGTCCTTTGCTGGAATGTTTAACCACAGGTTTTGTGTACTGTATCAATCCAAGCCTACAAACCCAAAGTGGTCATGGGAGAATGGGTGGTTTAAACCAGATTTTTTTGTCTGCATGATGCAGTTTGTGTCAAGATTTGCTTAACCTAATATTTATGAAAATTAGCTTTTGTACATTATATTTCAACAGATTTTGGTCACACTTCATATGAATTATTTGAAGAGCAAAAGGAAAGCAAACTTGAAGAGTTTAAGAGTAAAGTTAAAGAAAACTAAACTTGAGCAAAGTTGAATCGTATTTTCAAATATGAAACAACAGTTTCCGAGAAAAGGTTTTTAATGAGGATTACCTCTGACGTCAGGTTGGGGATTTTCTCCAGCACGGTGGAGGCCTGCATGAAGAATTTGTACGCAGTGAAGTACATGTACATGTCCAGCAGGGTACGGCTGGCGTCCATCTTACGAACGTCCGTCATCTCACAGAAGGTCTCGTACTGCACCAGGGGCGGGGTCAGGACCGCACTGAAGGCGGCAAAGCGGTGCTCAAACCGCACCTTCTGGTTGTCAAACATACAGTTGGGTCGGCGGAGTTTGTTGTCCATGGTGAAGCCCACAACAGCCTGGGCGAAAAGTCGCAAGACATCACCGAATTCAACTTTTTAAAAAATTCACGGAGTTTGGTTCTTGTGTGATAGAGCATGATATAGTCCTTTTCAAAATTGAAAACACCAATCAGGTAAGATTGGTTTAAACGTCAGTTGCCACGTGAACAACCCTTAAGAGGTGATCTAGAGAGAATTCCACCTTCAAAAGGTGTTGCCAAGGGGAAACAATTTCTGAGGAGTTTCACACCTAATCACTGCCTCTACAACTCGGAGACTCACCGGTGTGTGATTATTTATTAAAATATTTTACTTTAGGCAATACATTGTGGGTTCACACATGCTTGAAAATCACAACATGGAATAAAGTGTCCAAAAGGCACTAATCTTAGATACTGTATCAGTGTTGTATTCGAGTCCATCACAAGTCCCTTCGCAAGGCCAGTCACAAGTCCCTTCACAAGGCCAGTCATAAGTAACAGAGTGAACAATAACAAAAGAATGCTTTTGTCACAGCTCATTTGAATAGCCTGTGAACTGGCTTAACCACTTGATGCCAGGGAGCCCGGTTTCAGAGACGTTGGCTTTATATGCATAGCCAGGGTGCCCGAAATTGGACAAAGGAAACTGGGCCTTGTAACAAAAGACCGTACTCGGAACAAAAGACCGAGCTGATGGGAATTGCGAATATTTTTTCAGTTGTCAGTAGCAGAGGAAATCCGTAATTTTTTAAACTGATTATATCACTGTTTGTGGCATTCTGCGTGAGCGGATTACCACCGGGGACAAAAGCACTCCAGTGATGAGCAATACAATACCGCTGTACGCTAAACTGGTCCATATTTGAAAAGACGCCAGCAGCACACTGGGCCAGTTTCGGGAACAAAGAAAATGCGTCACTCCAATCTGAACTCTTTTTACAAGGCGGCAGGCCTTGCTGAAATACCGTGTCAATAGATTGTCTGTTAGATTAGCGTGGCCACCAGACAGTCATTTATGTGGGTGTAAATGCCCAGTAAAAGAAGTTATGGATTTTTGAAGAATTTTGAAACGGAAAAACTTGAAAATCCCCCAGGTATACATCATGCAACTTCAAATTAAACCCGGCAGCATATGGTTCAGCAAGGTTTTTTGCTTAAGCAAATTATGTGCTTAAAGCAGCTCTATGAAATTGACCCCATCCAGTTTTAAATCCACCATACGATACAGCAGGATAATCCTGTCCATCATGTCATTCTGTCACCCTTGATATTTCCAAGTATGACACTGCCACAAATGTATTACAAATAAAAACCACAAAATGCTGACCAACAGAATTGTCTTCGGCATAAATATTTTTTATTTAACTTTCCTGTTATCACCATTCATAAAAATTTGAAAATGGTAACAATTATCAGTTTTTAAGTCGAACAACGATCTTTTATTAAGCATGAATCGTTTTTTCCTTGCCGGGAAAAGGTTCAACATATATCCGGACTAAAACAGGAAAAAGAAAGAAGAAAAACTACATGGTGCAATGCATTTCATTTACAAACATTGTGACTCTATCATGAATGAAACAAGACTTCATGCTATAATACATTTGGGAGAGGAAATTCGCAGTCTTATGGGATACCTGTCTACTGCTACACGACAACACCAACATGGCATTCAAAAATATATCATTCGTCATTTTTTTTTCAACTCGGAACGAGAGCCTCTTTTACAAAATTGCAAAGTAGTTTCCAAGGCGTGTCAGACTTCAAATGCTTACTGACAACTCTGTTTGCTAAGGTTTATATTTTGGAAAAGGAAACGACGGATTAATCTGAAGTTGGCACTGGACGGCAAACACGGGTAGAACAACCCCTATGTGTACAGCATCCATCTACTCAGATGTTGTTTTTTTAATTACACGACTTTGGATAGCGCCAGTTCTTTTTATTTGGGACTATATTTTCTCTCGTGTAACCCCGGTTGAAAAGGAACAAATAGATGTTAAAGGTGTGGTGAAGTGGGTAAGTATTGGGTTAACAACTGATAAATACATTCAGAGATCAATGCATTCAGTATAAGAAAATGTACAAAGTTGATACAGGATTCAACTATCCGTTCAAATATGTACACACATGGGCCCCATGAAAAACAATTTTGTACAACGCACTATATAATCTTCCGCTTCTTGGACACGTTTGGGTTGAAAGTGAGGTTACCCTAGCAATTGATCGATTCATTAAACCCCGCTAAAGTGTTCCCGCCATTCAAAGTCAAGATGATATATCTGCGACGTTTATACGACAGTCCGACATGAGCGCAGGGCATATAACGTGTGTGGTTCAGCTATGCATTTTGACACTGTTGAGAGGCCCATGACCACTGTCCACTGCGTAGTGGGTGGGGCTTTCTAGAGTCAGCTACAACTTGAAGATTCTGTACATGTACTGGCCTATTAAAGTACACAGTGACAACGCAGACAAGTTTTAAATGCCTGCATCGGATATGTTGTAATGTTTCCCTCAGACATTTTACAAATGAAGCCTCACTTTGGCGACTACCTCAAAAAGCAACTTCTTCACCTGCTGGTCAGCAAATAGAACGTACGAAGCAACTTGCTGCTAATCTTTCTAAAGAACAAATTCAATTCAATGCACAATGCGGAAGTTGTTTTGTCCAGTGAGTGCAAGTTGTGATTGGTTAGTTTGTAACCCTTGGCCTAATCATTTAAACTTCCAATTTACGTATGTGTGTCACAACACAAAATCTGTGGAGAAAGTGAACACATTATCACTCAGTTTGGTCGATTAATCCCTGATATTCAAGTTTCATTAGCTGAAAAAAACCTGGCAGGCTACTGAATATCTCGGTTGACCCTTTTAGAGGGTTGGAACCAAAATGCATGAATTAAACTCACTGAGGTATGTTTGAACTTCAACACGCCTGGAAAGGGTACAGTGAAGTTTTAGCTAGATAGCAGTCAATGGGTGCAGTTTCAAACCTGACCATACTTTTGCTTTTCAGGAAGGGGGGGATCCACTTTCAGAGGAACATCTTCAGGGTGTTTCGATTCTGTTTAGGCTAGGGTGGGCTTTGAACTTGCATAGCATGAAACTAAATTTTCAAATTAAAGGGCTCTTTCTTCAATCACAGTTTGATAAAATGTATGGACAAAATTCAGTCGAGAATATCTCACTGTAAATATGTGCAAAAAGATAGTTTCTCTACACTTTTTTTTATAGTGAGGGACTGGTCCAGAGTTTCGTTTCACTAACCTTTCACTTTGACGAAACGAACGATGTTTAAGTTTCTCGATGTTGAATGGTCAAATTTCAAATAGTTTATCAAACACACCATCATGTTTACATTCTCGGAAGGGCATGTGATCCCCCCTCCCCCGGAAAACAAACACCCTTATAATATGTGCACGGTGCAGGGATGCAATGCTGTCAACGTGTAAAGTGGCTTCATTTATTCACTATTAATCTGTTGTAACTACATGTAATTTGGAGCTACGGTCTACATATCATTTACGGGCAGAGGTTTTGTCTTGCCCAATTTTACGGGGGGAAAGAAGACTGCTATCAGCTGCCAATTAGTAGGCTTGGTTTGGTCCAGTTTTCAAATACAATTATCAAGAATGCATGAAATTTATTACAATTGTGTTAATATCACAATACGGTTACAGTAAATACCTCGATCAGGCTCAAACATTTAAATTTCTCAAATAAGAATGCCTTACGCCTGTTCTTTTACTCAGCACAAAAGGGAAAAAACCCAACTGGCTACTCGTAGTATTACTGACAAGACTACTCGTGCTTCCAACAAAATATTAAATGAGTTGTGTCAATAAATAAATATATAGTTACAGTCGACATGTATCAAGCCCAGTCTTAGCTCAATCAAACCAAGAGTGTATTTCAATGCTAGATGAATACAAAAATGTATGAAGGCCTTCATAACATGCATTGTCAGAAAACCGTTTGAGCTAATGAGCTTGATGTTGATAAAGCATATACAAGACACAGCGATTGTCAACGAACTGATTACTGCAAGTCTCTAGGTAGAGATTCCATTGATGGTAGTACTTTTTGAATTTATGATCCAAATTCTTCGCTTAATATCTTATGACTTGATAAGTACATTGTCTATGGAGTACTTTAACACAAACATGCAATGATTCATTATGTTACATTTGTAATCGCAAGGAGATGCTTTGTCAAAATACTAAGACGAGGACGGCATCGGTGGGTGTCTGTCCTTTGACTTCTTGGGGCACTCAATACTTGGCATTATTTTTTTCTTTCAAACTTCATTAATTAACATACAAATACAGAAACTTTGGGGAAGGAGTTTTGATTACAGGATGAATAACGAATCGTATTGTTGTGTAATTACTTGATGACATGGGAAGGAGGTTTGTGTTCCTCCGTGCGTGGGTAAGTCCCCTCTTGTTTCTAGTCTTGGCTCAAGTCTGGAACTGAGTCAAATTCTTTGAGATTTGTTAATACCTACACAATGTTTTAAGGAATGAAAGCATTGGCTTTACTTCCTGCAAAACCTTGTGGGCTATACTTGCTGTCATGTTAATTAATGCATGTGCATTTTGCTGCAGAAATAATTCAAACAATTCAAATAATTTGAATTTAATTAAAAAAAGCTGCTTTATAGCAAATATCAGGAAGGGCTTAACTAAATACTAAACATCAGTGTAACCTCCCAAAAAAGGAGAAACACTTATCTTAGAACCTCCAACCGAATGAAATAAAAAAAAAACACATTTAACGGTACTGCATCAAGCTGGATGCAGCATTGTCTAGGAAATATGGCAAGCTTGAAGATTTCAGTTGGGAGAATCGGCACTGCGGAAGGGTATAGCCACCAGCCAAACGATACTTGGCACTCTAACACTCAGGCCTTGGTCAGGCCTTATTTGCAGGTAAATATGGTATTGGAACATAAGCTGAGGACATGCCGAAGATAAACGCTCAACAAAAACAAAACGGCAGTGTCAATAGCCACGCCATCAGAAATGACATATCTTTAACGAGCACACTGAAATTTAGTTCTTACAAACTATACAATGAGTTGATTTCTGTTAATAATTTAAGTACCTCTTTGGCAACTGACAAGTCTGCCTACAGATAGAGATACATGTGCCATGTAGGTCACTTCAATGCAAAGGGCAGATTAGGAGGGGGGAGGCAAAGGGGTTATACACCTCCCCCCTCCCAAAAAAGGGACAATTTTGTAGGGGAAAAATGAAATTTAACGGGGACTATTTCCTTCCAAAAGTGTGTAAAATGCCCCCAACTTTATCCCCACCCCTTGGAAAAGTTCACAAAAGGTTACGGAAATTCCCCCAACTTCTGGCCTCCCTTGAAAAGAATCGCTTTTGGATCTACATGTACTAGTATCCTTGCTTCAAAGGCAATCTGAACCAAGGCAAATTGGCTGATCAGTGGCCACACTACTTTATGAAATACACTGTAGTCTGACGGGGAAAACATGGCCCAACTATTCCAGTGGGTTATTCTGGGACCAGGCATACAAATGTTGTTTGCTGCCTAACTGGTTATCAACTGAGAACATGTGCATGCATGCTGTTGATAATCAGTCAGACTGTACTGAACCAAAATCCAGTTTACACCGTGACCACCAGCTGGGTAAGGTATAATAAGTAAGGCCCAATGATCCAACCTGCTGTGTGATACTAGTGGAGTTCTACAATGTTAGTCAACATTTGGGGAAAAGAAAGGACTTCTTTATCTGCTTCTGCACAGCAGGAAAAGGCACACAGCACACTCGTCAAATATTGCACTGGGCTTTTATGCCATTAATCAGCCAATACGGATTTTAAAAAAAGTAAATAAATAAAAATAAAAAAAAATTCAGTTTATTGGACAACATAAGAGGTACTTTTTAAATGAGATAATACATGTAGTACAAGTTACACAGCTAATGTTCACATTAGTTAATGGACGATTCTGTATCATATTACTGGAACTAGTAGTTTGAAATTTAACTGAAAAACATTGTGACAATGGGAATTCTGTTTGGAAACAGGAAAACATGTCAGTACGGTACGAACAAATTAAACTTCAGACAGACATCTAAGAATGATAAATGAATTCATTAAAGTGTAAGCATGAGTGAAAATTCATTTCCGATGGGATCCGGTACTGATACTGAACACTGTTGAGATTAATAAGAAAAATTGAAAGCAGAGAGACAGTTGTTTTCTGCTCGATATTTTGAGACTGGAGCTGTTATTTGCATGAATGTACCGTGCCTTGCTTTGAAGGTGCGCGACCCGACAAGAAGGTCACTTGGTACTGCCCAGCAGTCCTGCTGAAATGGACAAGAGGGGTTGGTCCCGACACTTTGGGGTGGGGGGGGGAAGGAACCAAAAAGTGCTTTTGCAGCTTCAGTCGCCACCTAATGTCCCCTTTCGTGGCTTCAAAAATGTCCTAAAATAAAGTCCTTATCATCGGAGGGCCATTATTTCTCTGTATGGTATTCAGAAATTAGACCAATAAACTCATGGTCCCCGGTGCACTTGTGTACTGCAGCTCTACAAAAACTACTTACTTTTTGTCACTTTGGCACAGACATAAAATAAAACACACATTGAATATTTTGACTATTTTTTAAAGCACTATGGTAAACTATTTATATATATTGTGGTGATATATCTAATTTCCATTTTTTTTATGTACACATATTTCTATACAGGAAAATCAGACTCACACAACCATCACACGCCGCACTGTCTCACACGATCCAAGTACAACACCAAATTGAGAAAAACACTCAAAACACGGTGGAGGACAGCACGAGGAACGTGCATCGATGTAGTACTTCTGAATGAATCAGTTTCATCTTGTTGAGGCAAGACAAAACCTCACGCGACATCTTTTACATGTACATGTAGTTGGTGGTACTTCAGAATCAATTACATGCAGGTTGTTGCGAATTGTTCCGTCAAACCGTAAAAACGGTAAGAGCACTGACAAGTAAACTGCAGTGCTTCCATGCACATATCCTGGTGATGGCTCTAAACTGCAGGTGGTACCAGATAAGTAGCAGCGTTATTCTCTTGAGGTGTTTCCGAGACACCACGTGTACCCACACAGAAGTAATATCATTTAAGTACTATATCTCTAAGTGCCAACACTGAGGCACTATATAATATATCCACATGGTGTCACTGCAAACTTGTCCATAGTTAGTACTTCCACTATGCATAGCCTCAAGTCTCATCTACTGAGGGACTACGAGGAACTACCCCTGAGATGATATCACTTGGAAGGTAGTCCAGTATCTCTGAAGCAAACTATATAGACCCCTCTCGTTTTGCCTACAACTTGTGTGGGTGGCCAAATTTGCAAAAATATCACCTTTTGGGTGATTTTCGGTTTTACCACAACTTCATTCAAAATGGAGATTTGTCTAAATTGATTTCCAAATTGGGTTGTTTTCCTTCAGAATTTAGTAGCTGTGTAACTTTGTCAATCACATAAAAATTTCGGACCTCATTTTGGGAAAGACTTCAAACCTGAATTCCCTACCTAAACATGAAAGGTTTTGATAGTCACTACGTTTGGAATACATCTCTGCAACAATCACATGATGTCACTTGAAAAACTAAATACAACAAAAAAAGGGCAAACAACACACGCTCTCACCCACCCTTACACAACTCTCCATACAAAATAAACTCTTTCATATACAATATATCGTGTTTTGCTTTATAGAAAAAAAAATCCTATTTGTGGGGACCATTTTGGTCAAATTGTCAATTTCATTCAGAAGTTCTTCTCATTTGCCATCAATTTTTAAATGTTATACAAAAGAGGTAATTCATGTCACGAGTTACGTCTCAATGCCAGCATGTTAAGCAAGTTCAAATGTTTCTTCTGGTCTTTATTATTTGCTTCCACCTGCTCAGAGCAGATTAACCTTTTTTTTTTTTTTCCAGAAGAGCTTTTCCAAGAGAGAGGCAGTCTTGCAATGACCACCTCCCTGACTTTCTCTGCGATCAACGCCAGAAAACGCATTTCTTTACACATTCAAAGTCAGAGTTACCAGTCTCTTCCAAAGACAGCCAACCTTTGATTAGAACTGCACTCCAGGACAACTGATATGACTTTGAACGGGCAATTCGCTTTTGCTCATGATCTAAAATATATACAGGACAGAAAAAGCATCAACCATCCCCTGCTGTCTGTCTGTGCAGTTCAATTTATCAATAATCAATTGAATTTGATCAATAATCGCCAACCGCCACCTCCTGTTCAATAAGCACCATGCCACCTTCCGATTACAAGAGAGAGGTGCCTGACTCATCTTCCAAAATCCTTCAGGATTTTGCAACAATCAACATTAGTTCATGCCATATTCGTGAATAATTCAAACAATTTCCGATATGAACGTTTGTATTAACTAGTCGCACTGCCAGTAAAGTTCGGTGAATTACACATGTACAATGATTTTTCGTCAATAGTGAACACCAAGAAAATAATGTTATTTACGTCTTGCACGGTTTTCCCAACAAGTCTTCAACAAATATGCACAGGTGTTGACATTTATACATACGCAATATACATACATTTGTTCTTCCCATCTTGGCCTCTCACTCAATGTGCCCAAGGCACATGTGCTCCAGCCTTTTGCTTGCCCTCATGTGCAGTTGGGGCATCGTCGCACCACCGGCAAGAAGACCTCAGCACTGTGTCACTTTGCCTATGGAGCTGTCATTGGAGCCGTTGTGCACGGCCCGGCCGTTGGCCGGCACCAGTCCATTCTTGGGGATTCGCTTGCGCTCCTTGGGAGCCATGTTCTCGTAGATGTCCTTCTCGCTGTCGCCCAGGATGGAGACGCGCTCTAGCTCTTCCTCGTCCAGCTTGTCGTGGCTGTCCTGTTGCTGGTGTTGCCGCTCCTCGCTGTGATAGAAGGAGTTCTGGGCAAAGCGGGGCAGCACGGTGCCGGTGTTCTCAAACAGCTGGATGATCTCCAGGAAGGTTGGGCGGAGCTTCTCATTGTACTGCCAGCACATGACCATGATCTCGTCTCTGTGACGGAGAGGGAGGACAAAAATCCAATGTTATGTCATTAATGGTTAACCATTTCCTGCCGGGTGCCTTTCAAAATGCAGTGCCTATATACGGGTGATTTTTCAATACCTTCGGTTTTCAAAAATCTTCCAAAATTCTTATTCTTTTTTCCTGAACGCCTAAACCCCATGGAGTGACTGTCTGGTGGCTACTCTAATCTGACAGACATCTACTGATGTCCGAGTATTTCACCCCGAGTATTTCAGTGAGGTCTGCCGCCTTGTAAAAAGAGCCTAGATTGTGTGGTGTTACATAAGTTGCTTTTGTTCCCGAAACCGGCACAGTGCGCTGCTGGCGTCTTTTCAATAGGGGCCAGATTAGCATACGGCGGTATTGAATTGCTCATCTCTGTAGTGCCGGAGGGCTTTTGTCCCGGGTGGTAGTCCGCTCGCACTGAATGCCACAATAGTGGTATAATCTTTCAAAACAATGACAGGTTTCCTCCGCTACTGACAGCTTAAATAAAGTTGGCAATTCCCAGCAGCTCTTGCCTTTTGTTCGGAGTACGGTCTTTTGTTACAAGGCCCAGCACTTTTGTCCAATTCTGGGCATCCCCGGCTATGTGTACAAACCCCAGGTACCCGAAACCGGGCTCCCCATCAGGATATGGTTAAGCGTGGTGACTCGCGATCAGCGGGTTTGCCGTTTGAACCCAACAGCTTATTGCTAGGGGCCTTTAGCCAGGCTCTTTACCCTTGCTTGCCTCTAACCATCCAACTGTAAGAACTGCACACCTTTGAGAGCAAAGGTTGCATGTGCACCAATGCCGGCAAATGACTTGTCTGGCCTGACGTACATGTACAAGGTGACACTTATGAGGCAGTTTTGATATCACTGGTCTGATGGAAGGCACTAACTACATGTAAGCATAACCAATTAGAATTAATACAGATCTGAGGTCCGTTTCCAAGGATGGTGAGGTCTGTGTACTTGGTCAAACGGACTTCCTAAACAATGCAGCATCAAGATACATGTAGATTACAGGCTAAGGTTTGCGTCTGTAATGTTAATTGTTACTTTCGAGATATAAATGGTTTCTCCAAATAAAAATTGTCAGGTGCGCCTTAGCAAGTGACCGTTCTGAATGCATGCTTTGATGATCTTCAGGAAACAACCTTGCAGTATGAAGTTCCATAATGAAGTTCAAACTTGAGAAAACCTTGCTAACAGTATAGTTTTCCAAAGTGATAAAAAGTGCATTTTGTTGTAACAAGTAACGTTAACAATCTACACTTAAGCCATTTCTCAACTCTTGGTCTCAGGCTCGGCTATTACGTAAAGTCTCCTGCACTGAAATCATTTGTTGACGTGACAGGTTTGAGGACATTAAAACGGTCTCAATATTGATTGGTTTGATTTGAAGGACTGGATATTACTATAGCAGAAAAAAAGGAGGCGTGTTATGCTCCGGAATGGCCAAAGTCCGGGACTTGAGACCAAAGCCAAGGGGAAGAAATGGCACCTCAGGCCTGAGCAGAAATGATGCCCTTGCACTCACAGCTTATCTGGACAGCACTCCGGCTTGTTTAAGACGCTGCCGTTCTTGACATATTCGCCTGCCTCCTCGTTGGACATGCCCTGGTATGGCAGCTCAGACAGTGTGGCTATCTCCCACATAAGCACCCCGAATGACCTGCAGAAAAATAGCAACACCACCGTCACCACCATATAAAAAAGCATGTGAAAAAAAGGTTGGGATGCTGTACACGTACATGATACCATGGATGGAAAGTTTCCGTGAGTTAAGAGTGGACTTTGTGGATAAACTATAGAGGGCGCAATACAACTAAGCAACATGGGCATGGGAAGGGCACTTACACTTCCCCGGTTCACATGGACAGTTTGTCAGGCGCCATTAGCAAAAGCAGGGTAAAGAGACTGAACGGGAAAGAGCAGGTTCCTTGCCCCTTCACGGCATTAATAAATTTGAAAAGAATAGGTGGGAACCAGTTACAAAGTGCGAATACTGTGGTTTATTCACACAGACACATTTTCATGAACGGCTGAGAGTCAAATATTGATAGCAATGGTTAGCATGTGCACCACCAAAGGGGCACCCGGGGACTAAGACCAAGACCATACTACTGTGCACAGTCTTACAGTGCTATTCAGCAATCAGACTAAGAAGCCATTACTCAGTAGCATTACGTTTGTGGACAGGTGAAATGCATGTATTACATTATGCGTCTCAAGCTCTAACACCCTAGTGAGTGCAGTGCCAGTGTAGTCATGGTGTCCACTTGGATTGGTCTATAAAGAAGAACACAGCACTGCGCCCCAGTTTCTGGGTATACATGTTTGTCCCGAGCACTCACCAGACATCAGAGCTGGACGTAAAGACCCCATCCCGGATGGACTCGGGCGCCATCCAACGTATGGGCAGCATGCCCCCTTTCTCCTTGCGGTAGTAGTCCGACTGGTAGATGTCGCGGGCCAGGCCAAAGTCGGCCACTTTGCAGGTGTTGTCAGCCGACACTAGACAGTTACGGGCTGACAGGTCGCGGTGGACGTACTTGTGGGCTGTCAAGTAGGCCATGCCGTCCGCAACCTCCACCCCCATGTTCAAAATTTCTGGGAGACTGGGTGGGTACTTTCTGTTTTGAAGCTGCAGGGCACAGAAATCCATGTTGTTAAGTGATACACGAAAACCAAGAGGAGAGCTGCCTTTTCAAACCATACTTTCCCTATGGTATTTCAATCCAGATAATAGCAAACTACTGGCTATGATTTCCGAGCAAGGACATTTTCAGAAACTTGAACGTCTGTGCACATTCATGCCCATCAAAGCTTTTCGGCTGCACACCAGGACAAACATTTTTCAGATCGATGATATTGCTGATTTTCTGGCACTACTGAACAAAAAACCCTTGTGTTTATGAAAGTGACACACTGACAAGGGTTCGGTTTAAAGCCCCCACCAAAATGGATAGGAGGTATCCTAATGCCATTGCATCTTCACAGACTGTGTTAGAGAGAATGGTTGTGGCTTTACACATGCAGTGTTGAATGTGGAATAATCAAGCACTGCCCTTGTAAAATGGACTTGCTTCAATATCACTTTTATATAAGGTGTAACAGAGAACTTCACAGAATGGATATTTGTTTGAAGGGAAAACAATGAGTGAAAGGGAAATACTCTTCTTAATAATCATAACATCTCATTCTCTTCATAGGAATAAGTATGAGTTTGAGAAGAATAAAATTGAAGTCACTTAAGTTAGAACCAACAAAACTGTAGTAGATTTGGGGGGTTTTAGGAATTAGTTGACGGGATTGTGAGGTTTCCATCAAAGGAAGCATTGGCATGTTTTCGGAAACAAGAAAACAGAGAAACTTTCATATTAAAGAGACGCTGTGAGCAATGACAACTGAGGCCAACCACTTACTGGTACATCTGTCTGATTCTCGGGTCGACGGGCACGCAGCCAATTCTTGAGGTCACCTTGTGCCATGTATTCCATGATGACAAACGTAGGCTGGCCCTTTGACACCACACCAAGTAGCTTGACCACATGGTGTGTGTGGATGGCCCTACCAGAATCCAACCAAAGAGAAAATTAGAAGTCATTTTGTCAGCTGAGCTTTGAAGCTTTTCATGGGGGAAGGATGCAAGTTGAGTAAAGAGGTAAAGTGACATATCTCTTTTGTGATGGTACGTGTGATTCGGAAAAGAACCCTTGAGACGAATCCACTTAGAGGAGGGTACAAGCAAGTGAAGGGGTACATGTTCCAGGGTGTGATTGGGCCATAAGCCCCAAATTCCAATTTTGGCCAAGCAAGCACGGATGGAGTTCTACGCTCCAACCCTAGATTGTGGTTGGAATCCCGACCAGGCCAGAGCAAAATGAGCTACCAGCTGCCACCCTAGAACCTGGTTAGAATTCCCACCAGACCAACACATTTGTTTGCCAATTCGACCATGGACCCTACATTTACATGTAACTTGAATCCAGAACAAGCCAGCTCCTATCCTAGACCCAGACTCCCCATCCAAGCCAACACAGACTTGGCTGTGAATTCTACCGTGGACTTCCAACTTAAAATGCCGGCCAGGCCAATACAGATTGTGTTCATATCTGTCACCAGTATATTTTGCCCTCTTTGTATCCAAAACCGAGTGACACGATCAATTAATTGATCTTTCAAAATCTAATGCAATAATGGGTACTTGCGATCAAAGCTTTCTAATGCAAATAAAACCAAAATAGTATTGCTGTGCATCAGTCATTGGATTGGACGGTCTTACTTCATGACGGAGGCCTCATTCAAGAATTCAATGCGGTCCCGGATGGAGGCGTTTGCTTGCACCGACTTGACCGCGACCGTGGTCACATCTTCGTCGGGGAGGATCTTCTTGGCTCGGCCCTCGTACACCATGCCAAAGCTGCCCTTGCCCAGCTCGCAGATGATGTCTAGCTGATTGCGAGGGAACTCCCACTCATCCGCCACGTACACTGCAAGCAACAAACAAGCCAGTCAGTGGGTGCTGGCTGTCGGCACGTACAATCCTGACATCAACGGTGGTGACTGCATGAGCTCGAACTCAAAAAAGTTGAGGAAGTGTGGAAGAGTTCCCTAAGTGCCAAGGGTGAGTGTTACAGTCAAGTCTTCACAGGTTCATTGTACAAGTTCTTACAAGCCCTCACACTGTGTGAGCCCTTATAAGTCCCCGCAAGTCTGCTGTATGAGTCCTCACAAGTTCACCAAAAGCCAATCCCAAATCAACCATTCTTTTAGTAAAGTCCCAAACTCTTTGAATAAGCTGTTATTTTGTAACTGGTACCCTGTAGAATTGGACTGTACTTGAAATCCACACACAAGGAGAGACTTCTGATTAACCCCACTCAGCCTGGACTTTTCAGAAGTGTATTCACTGGGGGTGTGTCAATTTGAACCCCCCTCCCAGATCTCAGAGATGGAATGAGCGATTAACACAGAATTTTTTTTTACGGAGAATAACTTATCTGCATGTCTACATAGATAATTAATTGAAATCATGACTTTTATTCAAATTATGTCCATATTAATTAGTGAAATATGCTTATTTTACGCCTATTTTCCATCTTTGCTAAAATATCAGGAAACCAGTACCCACTTGACTACAAATGAAACAGACATAGTTTATTATGTAAACAATGTATTTACTTTGACACAGTTTGTTTATATTTGCATATTTTATGCATGAAAGTTGCAATACATTTTTATCATACATTGTGTGTGCCTAATGCTTGTCATTTTTCTTTCATTTGTATTTTCTTTGAATTTTTCAGGTATTGCTTGTTCTGGCACTCAGTATTAGTTAGATATGACATCCAAAATGAGAGGAAAACCTTGACAGAAAAACGAACGCACTTCAACAAGTTTGCATGACACAACCATTTAGACACAAGCGTATGAAAAACGTATGCTTTTGGACGACCCTTGACCCTTGGTTGCCATGTAACATGCCATTTAGAATGCTCGGCCTGACTTTGGTGAGTTTGGCATCAAAAGTTCTGCAAGACTTCAAAGAGAAGACAGGAAAGGACAAGGTGATATTTGCAATAGTGGCAAAATATCCAATGGGGGAGGGCTCAAACTTGTCTCCCCAGTCTAGGTAGGGTTTAACCCCAGCACTACCAAGTTGGGTCTTTTTTCCAAGCACGCGAACAGCAAAGCAGCAACTTAGGGCGATAAAAAAATTCTTTAAAAATTCCAAACGTGAACAGGCACACACACAAACCCAACGTCAACAAGAGTGTACACAACAAAAGTGACTTTTTAGCAAAAGACCAAGAGAAAAAAAGAAAACTTAAAACATGTGAAAATATTATAAGTGAGACACCACTGCAGGGTGCAATGCTGGTACTCACTGTCACTGGTGCTCATGTACTCGGGGTTCACTGAAGCATATAACACACCATCTGGCATTTGGTTTTTCTTGTATCTGTGTAGCAAATGTCATAGTGAAACTACTGTAGATAAATTAGACCGATCTGTGAGAAAAAGGTACGCTGATGAGGCAGGGCATCGACTTCATTCCGTCCTACCAAGAAGAACTAGTGGGGGTACTTTGTTACACACCAGAACTTCCTAGTAGGAGTGGCCAACTATTTGCGTTCACTTGTTTGCCTACATAGGCGAGGGGGCCTTCACTGCATTGAGGGACCAATTTCTCTGGTTAGGGAAGTCATAACTGACTTGTGTCCCCCCCGCAATATTTCTGGTCCCCATAACGTATGCCGTCATCACAACTACGGACAAAAAGGTGACGTCGAGGGGTATATGTGTACTCCATGTGCGCGACCTCAGAAAGGTTTCACGTTTGCATTGGGCACAGCATGGAACCGTGGTGTTTTATGTCAGCCACGGCACTCACTCATTCACCAGCGACGAGGGGGGGGGTATTTGTGCACAGCTTCCATGACGTCCGCATAGACGGACGTTTCCCCTCTGAAAAGAGTACAGTTAAGACCAGCGTTGTATTCGCGTCCATCACAAGTCCCTTCACAAGTCCTGTCGTAAGTAACAGGGTTAACAATGACAAAAGAATGCTTTGTCCTGAGACAAGCTTGTAAATTGGCATTGGCTTATGAATGAATGA